GTGAAATCACCCCTGACCCAACACTGCTTCTCCAGATGACTTTCTACCCTCCTCCCAGCTCTGTGTCCAGGGGCTGACCTCTGGGCTATGGCAACAGGTTCTCTTATCCTTGGCTTTTAATGGGACTCAGCTATGGGGAACTTGGCCAAAGATGAGAGGGAAATAAGGCCCTTATTGGCCTGTAGTCTTTGCCTTGATTGCTGTGAGCTGGGCGACAGAGCTTGCTATAGCCTTCTCACACCTCCCGTTCCTGGTGTACCTCAGCCAAGGGTAGGTGAAAGCTGCCTCACTGGTGAGATAGTCTCTACATGGCTTCCGTACAACTAACTATACCTGTATGCAGTGCCACTGTTAAACTCCCCTCAAAACACTCAGGGTGCTCTGTTTCCTGTGGATATCCCCACTCTTGCCTAGCGTTGGACCATCAATGCATTATGTTGTGTCATCATCTTGATCTCAGTGCACTGTTACACTCAACAAAAATGCATTGGTTATTATATAAGATCAAATGGAGTAAATATTTTACATATTGACGAAATTCAATATGTAAGAGTTTATAGGAAATTTGGGACAGATTAAGACTTGAGCACAAAAACAATAGAGAATTTTATGCTGGAGCAGAAATAAGTCAAAGAATGAATCCTCAGTTCTACCCTAAAACTCTTAAGGCTCTAAATGTGTTCTCATGCAACTGAAAAAGCAGGCCCAGGCCCAGACCCAGGGAATCCCAATGGGGCAGTTGTGCCATGGTTTAAGACCACCTATGGCTCCATTGGTTCCCCAGTCACACTTGTTCACCATCCTCTTCCTCCAGGGTGACTTCAGCAGCCCAGTGGCCTGCCTCGGCCTTCTGTCTTAGTTACTTTTCATGCTGTGCCAATGTACTCAGGAAAAGCCATTTTGTTTTGGCTCAGGGTTTGAGAGCGTAGTCTAGCATGGCCGGGGAAAGTATGGCAGGGAGATGAGCTCTAAGCTGGGGCAGCAGGACCATGAGGCAGCTGGTCAGGAAACAGGTGGGTACCGGATGCTTTTTTTTTTTTTTTTTTTTTTTCTTTTAGTTTAGCCCAGGATTCTAGCCCATGTGGCTGGAAGGACCCACATTTGGGGAGTGTCAACCTCCTCAGTTGGAAACAAACACACGCCCCCAGAGATGGGTCTCCTTGGCACTTCTGAAGCCAGTGAAGTTAGCAATGAAGATTAACTGAAACACCCACCTAGTCTAGAAAGCCTTCAATTTTCCCCCACCCTAGACAGAGCCTGCAGACTGGTTCCTGGGGCCAAGCCGTGGAATGCACTGCGCACTGACACCTGATTCCAGGTGAGGAGGAATCTAGGTAGAAGAGTGGGCAATGCTTATCAAAGATGCAAAGATTTGAAACCGGTTGGAAAGGGCTAGGAGAGAAGCCATTCTGAAGAACGACGGGGACGACGGTTTGGAAATAGAAAATGGGGTGGCTTTGGGTAGTTTGAGAATCTAAACAACCAGAAAATAAAGTTTCCAGCCAGTGTGGGGAAAGGGAGGTCTTTGAACGTTCTTCGGGGCTAAGTGTGGAGGAGTCGGTCGCCCCAGTCCATGACTCCCACCAGCCATTCATTCACTAATTCATTTCTTTAGGGTTGCTTGCCTGCTGGCTTGCCTGCCTGCCTGCTTGCCTGCTGGCTTGCATGCGTGGTTAGGATCTCACTGTGTAGCCCTGGATAGCTCGGAACTCACAGAGATCTGCCTGCCTCTGCTTCCCTGGTTGCTGGGAGTAAATACATGCGCCATCCATCACCAGCAGCCTCCAGTGGTGGGTTTTGAGTGCTGTGTGTGGGTCAAGCAGCTAGGAACCCTTACCGAGTTCAGAGGTAAGTGAAGCTCAGATGACTGCAGGAGGGCTAGGAAACCACTCAAACCACGGCCTTTTAGTTTCTGCTTCAGGCGGAAGCTGGGCTTGTTCCCATTCTACAGCTTAGGAATCTGGGGCTGCGTCCTTAGGGAATACGCAGACGGTCCCTTGGGGCGACCGCTCAGTTAGTTCTTTGCCCTCGGGGAGACTGCGAGCCCGACCGGACTTCCCATTTCCCGGAAAGGCTGGAGAGAAGTCCCGGGACGCGGGACTCCCTTTCCCCGCCCCTCCCCGCCCCGTGGCCGCGGCGTGGCTGAGCTCGGGGCGGAGCTGGCGTCTCCTCGCGGCGGGGCGGCGGGACGGCGGCCGCGGCCGGGAGCAGACGGGCGGCCGGGCGCTGAGACCAGCCCCGCGGGATCCCGGGCGGAAGGACGACGACCCAGCGCGCGGCGGTGGAGCGGCGCAGACAGAGCCTCGGAGCTGTCCACCTAGCCGGAGCGCGTGAGTGAGCGCCGCCACTCCGCGCCCCCCGAGGCCCGGCCCAGCTTCCACTTTCAGTTCTTCTGGGTCCTCGCGTGGCACCTCCTGGAAGCGACCCGGGTCCGAAAGCGGGCTGGCCACAGTCCTCGGTCCCGGGTCCGAGGCTCCCGGCGCCGGGAGTCCGGGGTGGGGGAGGCGGTGGCGGTGGCTGGTGGGGGGTGGGCGTGTCTTTCAGGAGCGGAAATGTCAGGCTAGCTCCTCTGGGTCCTAGGACCTGTTTGGCCTTAACAGTTGAAGATCAGGAGAGTTTCTTAGGGACTCCAGGGAGGGGGGGGCGGGTCTGGCTGGACAAGAGCTATGTCTTTCGCTTCCACTTTTCCCTTAGAATCTCAGACTTAGATCTTGTCCCTCAAGGCATACCAGACTAGATTCTGAGTTCAAACTGGGGCCATCTTCTGGCTGTTTCCTAGCCAGGCCAAGGGAGGGGCAGGTGTGTCCCTGGCAGGGGGCTAGGAAGTTAGATTGGGAAGATTAGATGTTGGTCACGGAGTGAGCAAACCACTAGTTCCCCGACCCAGTAATTAAAATGGAGGGTCCATGCGGAAGGGGAATAGAGGCTCTGTGAGAAACAGTCTCAACCTGATGGCATGAGGCTGGAGAGAACCCCGGGAACAGACATAGCAAGGGGGGACTGCCTTCTTAACTTAGCTCCCATACTCACCTCCAAGTTCACTCTTTCTAGTAAAGTCCTGGGCCTTAAGGAGGAGGGGCATCTGGACTCCCTTCCTCCCGGCTTATCTACACCAGGCCAGTGGCCAGGCAGGGTAGGAAGAGGGTCCTTTGTACCTTGTTATAGGCTGAGTCCCTCTTTAACCCAATCCCCTGTGTCCTACAACTTGCTATGCAAAGTCAGGCTCTTCAAATCCTCTTTAGTTTCCCCATCTATTCCTGTGGGATGTGCCACTTGATTTCTCAGAGTTATTTCAACTTGAAGACTTTTATTCGTGTGTGTGTGTGTGTTATTGTGAGTATGTGAGGTTGGGCATGAAGGTTTGGAGGCCCAGAGTTGTATCAGTTGTCTTTTTCCCTCACCTTTCACTTCATTTATTGAGGCAAGGTCTATTTTTTTTAATTAATTACATTTATTGATATGTGTGCATATAGATACACACACAAACACACTTTTGTGTGTACCACAATGCACATGTGGAGGTCAAAGACAGTTTGTGGGAGTGTTCTCCTTCTACCATGCTGGTCCCAGAAATCAAACTCAGGCAAGCAAGTTTACCCACTGAAACATCTCACCAGCAAGGTGAGGTCTTGCTGAACCTGGGGCTTCCCAAGCCTGGCTAGTCCAGCTAGCCAGCTTGCCCCAGGGATGCCCTGCCTCTGACTCCTGAATGCTAAGGTTACAGGAGGCTGCCACACCAGGCTTTCCATGGGTTCTGGGGATCCAAACTGGTCCTCCTCATGCTTGCACTGCAGTCGCTTTAAACTCTAAGACTCTTTGAGTCTGAGCTTTTCCTAAAGCCTGGCCACCAGCTTTGTGCCAGTCCTGACTTGATCTGGAGAGGGGTAGGGACAGAAGCAGTCATTGAGCATTCACCACACAAGGCTGAGATAGGCCTGCGGCAGGAGGTGGTGTTCAGTGGGACGAGAAATCAGGAGAGTAAGGACATGCTCCGGGATCAAAGAACAGCCTAGGGTGGCTGCTGGAGAGAGGTGGGGCAGGAGAGGTGGGATCGAGGGTCTGTAGCACCAGTAATGGGGAGGGCAAGCACAGGTGAAGGATCCAGACACCCCACTGATGGCAGTGAGTGATTTTGGAAGCCCTGCCCCAGGCAGAGCCTAAAAGGGAGAGAGGAACCGAAGTGTACCGAGCTTTCACTCAGGAAGTTCAGATCCCAGCCTGGCATTTCTTTGGGAAGAAGTTATGGGGTGGGGGGAAGCAGAATAAATAGGAGGGCCTTCCACACTTCAAGCGTCTTCCAAGAGGTCAGGAGCTCTCTGTTCTCCAAACTGCTCGTTTTTCCTGGTTTTTTCATTCTGTCTGCCTGCTGTGATCAAGAGGGAAAACTCCTGTGCCAAACATTTCTTTCTTTGATTTGTTGCCAGAAGTAACATTTCTCTGTGCTCCATGCCTTTGGTCATACTGATCACCTTATTCCCACCCTCTCTTCCCCAATCCTGCCACAGCAGTTATCAAAGAGATAGGAAACTGCTTCAAAGTCAAGCCAGTCTGAGGTGAAGGATAAACTGCGTCTGCTGCTGTCTCAAGCCTCATTCAGTTTGAAGCTAGCCTCAGGACTCAACTAAAAAGGTCAGAGTTCAGCATGGACCCCAGGCTCAGCTTATACAGTTTAGTAGTGTAAGTCTGTGGTCAGGGTCTGTGCTTGATTTGTGGCTTTCCAGTCTTGGCAGTTGCTTGGATCTTCATTCCCCAATAGCTCATGTAGGGGAGATGAAATGCCTAAGACAATTAGAAACCTGACTATATCAGGGTATTCAAGGATTTGCATGGGCTAAATTCATGGTGATGCAAGCAAGCCAGTTTTGAAGTACGGACCAGATCCCAGGACTCTGATGGATGCCCCCTGAAGTCTGTTCTGAGTCTGGGATCCTTCCGTTCTAAGCGGCAAAGCAAACATCTAGAAGGTAACCAGCAGGATGGGCCTGGCTGCTCTCTCCCCAGCCTTTGGTGCCAGATACATAGTAGGCTTGCTGGAAATCTGTGGAGGGTCAGGTGCAAGGGAAAGGCCAATGGCTCATGCAGGTTTGGGACTGACAGGTTGGCTTGGAGGAAAGGAACTCTAGCCTCTGTCACAGGAAGTGGTGCTCTTCTAGGCCTGCCACCGTCGCTTCCTGCAGCCACACTTAAGGCCACCCAGCTGGCTGTGTGAGGGCCCTTTCCTCTTTCAGTGTAAAGAAAAAAAGAAAAGGACATTTTCGATAGAAAAGTCCCTCCTGCTCCCTGGGAATCCCCGGTGGCCGGATGGAGTTCGGGATATCCCAGAGGAAATCAGAGTCCAGGGCCCACCCCCCTCACCCCTAGCTCTATGCAACAAGGCTCTCTCGCTACACAGCTGGCCTATCGGGCTACAGAGAACATCTTGTCTGGGGTCCCTGTTCCCTAGTGGGCCTGAGAAGCCTCTGTCACTTCTGTAATGGCCAGCAGTCCTGGAAGCACCTGTTTGGAGTCCAGGCCACGCCCCCTGCAAGATTCAAAGAAAGCAGGGAGGAAAGTAAGCAAAATGAAAGGCATGTCGGGCTGCTGCAGGGGTGGAGGGCTACAGTAGTCCACAAAAGATTAGGCAATGCGAGGGGGTGAGGGTTTCATTGAGGTCAAGAAGTTGCCCTCAGGTGAGAGCTAAGAGAAGAATGATGTGTTGGGAAGCTAAAGCCTACTTTATAAGACCCTGACCACCCACTTCCCCTTGTCTCTGTCAGGGCATCTTCAGGTCCCTGTGCCTAGACATCCAGTTCTGTCTGCCTGGCCATGGCTCTGTGTCTGAAGCAGGTGTTTGCTAAGGATAAGACTTTCCGGCCCCGGAAGCGCTTCGAGCCTGGCACACAGCGCTTTGAGCTGTACAAGAAGGCACAAGCCTCACTCAAGTCCGGCCTGGACCTTCGGAGTGTGGTGAGGCTGCCACCTGGCGAGAGCATCGACGACTGGATCGCTGTGCACGTGGTGGACTTCTTCAACCGTATCAACCTCATCTACGGCACCATGGCCGAGCACTGCAGTGAGAGCAGCTGCCCAGTCATGGCTGGTGGGCCCCGCTATGAGTACCGCTGGCAGGATGAGCGCCAGTACCGAAGGCCTGCCAAGCTCTCAGCACCCCGCTATATGGCATTGCTCATGGACTGGATTGAGGGTCTCATCAACGATGAGGATGTCTTTCCTACACGTGTTGGTGAGCACTGTCTGGCTGAAGAGTTAGCCTAGCCGGTAGGGTCATTCCCATATCGTAGAAGAGGGAATCCGTTAAGGCAGGATCAGACATTCAACAAGGACTATCTGACTCCCATTTGGGGCATCTTGTGTCCAAAGCATAAGTGTCACCCTGCAGACTATTCCAACATGACCACAAATGCTGTTTCTCTGCCTACTTGGGCTGACCTGGCTTTCAGCCTCCTTCTAGTCCCCTGTGAATCCTGACTCCAGGAAAGGGAAGGATTGGAAGCTGGATCTTCCCAAAAGGTGTCTTTTCTTCAGACTTGGTGTTCCATAGTCAGGTCCAGGCCATGAGGCCTTTTCTTATCTCAGCTGGACCTGGGAGTGTGAGGTTGGGGAGAGGAGATGAGTAACATCACCCTGGCCCAGGTTCCCCACCCGAGAGCTGAACTGTGTTCATCACAGAAGCCCCACCTGCAACCTGGGTCCCAGCACCCCCCTGGGCTGTAGAGATTCAAATGGGTGGGGTAGATGGTCAAGCCCAGAGGGAAGAAGTCTGAATGCTGTGGGAAGCTGGGCACTGAGTCACAGTTCAGGCACATGGCTCCTCCCAGCCGTGGCTGCCATTTCCTGTGTACAACACGTCCCTTCATTTTACACAGGAGGAAACTGAGGCCAACAGTGGGAAAGCACACTGTTCTATGGTTCAGAACTGGAACTCAGGTGTTGTGGGGTCCTGGTGTCATAGTCTAGGCGGGTAGGATAGGAATGTGGGGACAAAGCTGGGCTCTCAGGCAGAGTGCAAGCTCCGAAGAGCAGCGAGAAGGAAGGTATGTGGAGGTGTATGGACTAGGCCTCCATCTGATCCTGGCTTTTTTATTCCCTCTAGCCTACATCCCTGGATTTGTGAGCCCTGGGTAAACTTTTAACTAGATGACTGGATGATTTTTGTCATAGCGGAAAAGAGGGTATAAGCCACCAGGATCTCTGCCCTTTTCCCATGGTTCTCATGGCTTTTTCTGGCCAGAGAGGATCTGTACCATCTATTTCTGAGAGGTACTACTGTGCAAAGAGGGACTGAATCCTGCCTCCAGTCTGTACTAATTAATAATTATGTGTCCTCAGGCAAGTGGCCTCACCTTTATACATTACCTGCATCTTATCATATCTAGAATGACTATCAGACTCATCAGCATAACTGTAAAAAGCAGGAGACAGAGGTACAAAGGGCCCAGCTCAGGGCTGGGCTCACTGAGGTTCTTTATGTTCTTTATGCTATTGGATATCTGAAGGAATGAGTGATATCTGAAGCAGTTCCTGAAGTGTTATTAGCATCAGGGTGGGGGTGGGGGTGCATGAGCCAGCTGTGAGAAAAGTAAGCAGGGGAAATAAGGGTGTGGCTGGAGAGAGGAATCAGGATTGTCTCATAAAGGCTTTGCTCCATTCATGCTGGGATATTAAGACTTAACTCTGGAGGCCCACATTTTAAAAAACTGGGGCCCATTGTCCAGTATAGGAGAAAGTGGTGTGCACATTTCTGCAGCAGATGTGCAGGTGTCTGGGGAGAGGCGAGGCCATAATTGTCACTGTGGTCTGAGACGGACTGGCCGGTGACAAGCTTGCAAAGCCCTGCTTTAGGCAGTGGGAAATGTGAAGGTGATAAGTCTTAGAGCAAGGAGAAGACAAATTCAGATTTGTGCTTCATTGAAAAGGAAAGATGGGGGCTGGGGTTGGATCTCAATGGTGTGAGTGAATTCCTGGGTTCAGTCCCCAGTACTTCCTCCCACCTGAAAAAGAAGAGTGTTGGAAAACGCCAAACTGTTGCTCTGCCTTTCTGTAAGGGTCCTGTGCTGAGGAGGGGTGAGGGCACCCTGTGGGGAAGGGCAGAATTTTGATCACTCTTCTACCCCTTTCCATCCCCAGGAGTTCCCTTCCCCAAGAACTTCCAGCAGGTCTGTACCAAGATCCTGACTCGCCTCTTCCGAGTCTTTGTCCATGTCTACATCCACCACTTTGACAGCATCCTCAGCATGGGGGCGGAGGCCCACGTCAACACCTGCTACAAGCACTTTTACTACTTCATCCAGGAGTTCAGCCTGGTGGACCAGAGGGAACTAGAGCCACTGGTAAGGCCGAGCCTCCACCACCCTCCGCTGCCAGTGCTGTCCCATGAAAGGATCTGTGTGAAACTCCTATATGCGGGTGGAGAACGGATGGGAGACAAGTCATTTAACAGTGGATTCTGTACTCTCATAGAGAATTCATAGGGATGTCAGTTTACAAATCCAGATTTGCTGCCATGGTTTGCAGCTGAGGTGGGTGGGGGGGAGTGTGTCGGGCTCCATGATTTCGCAAGGAGTTGCCCACAGGCTTAGATGAAACTAACCCTTCCTTGCTTTGTGTCTCTACAGAGGGAGATGACAGAACGTATCTGTCACTGAGTCCACATCCGGATGTGGTTGCCTATCAGATGGACCATCTGAACACAGTGTAGCTGGGAGAGGGGACCCTTGGGAGCCTGTTGGTAGAGCAATCTGAAGGCCTGTAGGACACCTCTATATACCCAACACCTCTGGACTTCTCAGAGGTCTGTCTCTGTGTCCCCGAATACATGGAGAAGGGAAGGCTTCAAGTGAGCAGCAGAAGGAAAGGAGGAGATTAGCTTCTCACATTAAGTCCAGAATAGGGTACACTACCAGGATTCTGCTCTGACACTTCACCCTTTCACCCAACCATCATGGTTCCCAAATCCATTTGGGGAACATGGAGTGGCTGAAGTGAGGGCAAGAAAATTATAAGAGAGTGAGTGCCTGTATCTGAGCAAGCAGGTGTGTGTGTGTGTGTGTGTGTGTGTGTGTGTGTGTGTGTGTGTGTG